TTGTAGCCTTCTTTATGGCTTGTGGCAGGGGAAAGTATCCCTTGATATTTAAGTATTTTGTCCTTTTTTAAGACTCCAAATGCCAAATAAAATGTAGCTTTAACTGTATCCTGTGTTGCTTGATCTTATTATATCATGAAGCCTAGCAGAACCGTTGTCAGACAGTTTTTATGGAAAGTGACCTTTACAATTCCATTATCCTAATTATCCTAATTCTATAAATCTCCAGCAACCAAACTATAACACGTTAGAAAGCCATAGCATTAGAACACATTAGAATAATAAAATAATTTAGAAAATTTTTATCGAAAAGCTTCCAAGGTTAATTTATTTGTGTGTCTATAGTTGGTTTAGTTGAATCCTTTTAACAAATGCATAACTGTTCCTAAATTTCAGTTTCAAGTTATAGAGTCATTCAGCATGGAAAGAAAGCCTTCTATCCAACTCGTCCACGTCAACCAGACATCCAAATCTGACCTAGTCTGATTTGCCAGCATTTGGCTCATATCCCCCTATTCCTTTCTGTTCATATACCCATCCAGATGCCTTTTAAATGCTGTAATTGTCTACTTCCACCATTTCCTCTAGCATTCCATACTCACTCCACCCTCTGCGTGAAAAAGTGACCCCTCATACTTTCTTGAATTCACCATTTTGTGCTAATTTCAGCTGAAAGAATCAAAAATGGGTTGGAGGGTGAGAGATGGGCTAATGTTTTATGAGGACAGAAGATTCGAGTTCACTCCCTTTTGTAAAGAGTACTTGTTAGCATCTCCAATTTTTTGGGGATGACTCCTGACATTACTCATCCCAAAATTAACACCCACAAGTCAGCTACAACTGGCATTTCGTAGGTCTTTAGCAGAACATTGCTGCAAAGCCATACCAAAACCATGATTTGTACTGTTCTCTGAACACATAGACTTTAACAGGAGTGGTGATTGTGGGTGGATGTTATCAGTTCTGAAGTAGATTCTTACTTTGAGCCGGTCATTGAGAACTTCACACGTTTTTCTGGATTTTTTTGATTGAATGTGAATGAAAGACTGAATGTGTTAATTCTGTCACCTTGCCTAATGTCAAGCAAAAGGTTTTCAAGTTCTTTTCTCAGGATCACTGCTGACATTCTCTGTAAAATAAAACTGCATGCATTGTTTGAGCATAGGTTTTAATTCAGTAAGATGTCACTTGGATGCCCATTCCATAGTGATGTTTCAGTTATACACTATTTTAAAGTTGTGAAATCCTGACTTTGTGTCAATATAAATTAAAACTATGGCAGGGTGGTGGTAGAGGCTTGTTCAGATTGGAGGCCTGTAACCAGGTGTGTGCCACAAGGATTGGTGCTTTTTTTCCTATTCTTTTGTGGGATGTGGGCATCGCTGGCTGGCTAGCATTTCTTGCCCATCCCTAGTTGCCCTTGAGAAGGTGGTGGTGATCTGCCTTCTTGAACCGCTGCAGTCCTCTTGCTGTGGGTTGACCCACAATGCTATTAGGGAGGGAATTCCAGGATTTTGACCCAGCGACAGTGAAGTAACGGCGATATATTTCCAAGTCAGAATGGTGAGTGACTTGTCGGGGAACTTGGAGGTGTTGATGTTCCCATATGTCTGATGCCCTTGTTCTTCTAGATGGAAGTGGTCGTGGGTTTGGAAAGTGCCATCTGAGAATCTTTGGTGAATTTCTGCAGTGCATCTTGTACAAGCTGTGTCCAGTGTTGCACATCTTTTGTATAGATGATTTTGATGAGAATGTAGGAGGTATGGTTACTAAGTGTGTGGATGACATCAAAATTGGTGGTATAATGGAGAGTGAAGAAGATTATCTAAGAGTACAACGGGATGTTGATCAACTGGGCCAGTGGGCTGAGGAATGGCAAATGGATTTTAATTTAGATTGTTGCATTTTGGTACGACAAACCAAAGCAGGACTTACATGGTAGAGCCCTGGGAAAGTGTGTTTGAAAAGAGAGATCTATGGGTGCACGTACATAGTTCATTGAAAGTGGTAACATAGGTAGACAGGGTGGTGAAGAAGACGTGCTTACCTTCATCAGTCAAAGCATTGAGTACAGGAGTTGGGACATCATGTTACATCTGTATGAGGCATTGGTAAGACTACTTTTGCAGTACTGCATGCAATTCTGGGCGTCCTGCTATAGGACGGATGTTATTAATCTGGAACGAGTGCAAAAAAGATTTATCGGGATGTTACCGAGACTGGAAGGTTTGAGTTATAAGGAGAGGCTGGGACTTTTTTCCCTGAAGCATAGGAGGCTAAGAGGTGACCTGAGGGACAACATTTTCACACAGAGGATGGTGCATATCTGGAATGAGCCAGAGGAAGTGGCACAAGCGAGTACAATTACAGCATTTAAAGACATTTGGACAGGTACATGGATAGGAAAGGTTTAAGGAGATGTGGACCAAATGCAGACAAATGGGATTAGTTCAGTTTAGGAAACTTGGACTCAGCACGGACGAGGTGGGCCGAAGGGTCTGTTTCGTGCTTTATGACTCTATGACTCCTTCCTTAGAAGTAAAGACTTTGTAACTGTTATTATGAGAGCTTGTGACTTGATATCAACTTTCAGGAACAGAGCATTCAGGCCTTCCAGCTTTCTGTACTGTATTCAATGGCCTTTGTGCTCCAGCCCAAGCGCACTTCAGGTATTCTTCTTATTTATTTAAACTTTTAATTAAGGCAATCTTAGAAATTTATTTTACTTTGAAAGAACTTACATTTTAATGAAAAAGAAATGATCTCTGTTTTCTAGGCGATTATTACTCTATCTACAGATCTGTCCAGAAACCGATGCTGCTTCTAGATGAGAAGCTCTCTCAATGTTCAAATTCTCTGTTGTCTAAAAGTGTTGTCCAGTTGGTCTTCATTTAATTTTCACAATACATACTACCAAAATATTGAAACCTTTTATTAATGGCTACCAATGTACCCATGGTGTGAGTTTGCCTCTGACAGAATGTTTACTCTGATGCAGCAACGCTTATGTTATTTCCTATACCATGAGAAATTGGGCATGAATGTCATGGTACTGTAAGTGCCAACACGTATTTATTACAACTATTTTATATAAACATTACATTCCTCTTGTTCAAGTGTCTGGGTAAGCATTAACCTACTAAATTACAATAGACACACTTGCTTCCTATGTGGAGTTTGCACGTTCTCCCCGCATCTGCGTGGGTTTCCACCATGTGCCTCAGTTTCCTCCCACAGTCCAAAGATGTGCACGTCAGGGGGATTGGCCATGCTAAAATGTCCCGTAGGGCCCAGAGATATGCAGGCTAGGTGGATTAGCTGTGGTACATGCGGGGTTACAGAGATAGGGTGGGACTGGGTGGGTCTGGGTGGATTGCTATTTGGAAGGTTGGTGCAGTCTCGATGGGTCAAATAGCCTCTTCATGCACTGTAGGGATTCTATGATTCGAAAGTGTCATGCCTCAAGTGATCCTGATATAAGATGGAGTTTGAGACCTTTTGAGATCTCAGGTCCTATAGTATGATTTGGTTATAATGTCATGAGTATGCCTCTTAAGGGCATAATTACATGCTGACCATGAAAACAACGTTTAGTTCTATTTTCATTGCCACATTCAGAGATTTTCTTTCCTTTCAAGAATCTTCACTGCAAAATGCAATTGATCTGTCTCCATAAGTTGTCAGCTCGTTTTAAATGAATAAATTTCGATATTATGTCATGTTTCTTGACAAAAATATGTTGAGGCTTGCTATATAACAGTCTGGAAGGATGATTGTTTCATCTTAAATAGAAAGATAGTTTTTGTATTCTTACTCAGAACTTCATAGCATGAACTTTAGGCCCTTTCTTCCTAGTGTTTTACGTATTGAATTTTTTACTGAATAAGATCAAGTCTGCCAACATTTTCCTTTTGTAAACATCAGGTCAGGTTGAGGACAGTCTAGAGGGCTGGAGTTAATCATTTAAAAGCAAATAACAGTAATACTGTTACCATTTCTGTCCATGGGCTTTCAGATATTCCAGCACATTATTGAAATAAATCATTTATAAATAGAGAGCATTAGAACATTTTGTTTGCCTCTGTTATGTTTTGACTTTAAAAAGAAAGCATCTCTTATTCCTTGTTTTTTTTCAAGCTGTAGTTCAGAATGGTCAAAGGCATATTTGCTTTCACATTCTTGATTTATTCGAGAGTAGAGAGTAGTCATGGCATTCTTTTTAATTCAGGATTTAATTCCAACCTGTTATTTGTAATAATAGTTTTTTTTACTGACTATTAAACAACCCCAGTGAAATTTAATTTTGGACATTTGAATGAGGTTGTGAATATGGAACACTGTTACTGAGGTGCAATAAACCCTATCATGTTACCTAAGTTAACTGTTTCTTCTGCTGAAACTTATTTGTGGTTCATCCTTCGCCCTAAACTGCTAGAATCAGAGAATCTGTACAGTGCAGAAAGAGAGCATTCAGCCCATCGAGCCCACAACCTCGAGCTAAGTACCCCAGGTAATTTAGTAAACAATTTCACCTGCAATGAAATCATAGGTGGTTTGACTTCACCTACCAATACCCAAAAGATCCTTTCACGTAACAACAAGGACAATTTGTTTTTAGTGTAATTAAAAAAACCCAAAGGTGCTTCACAGGAAAATTCTTAAAAGCATTTGCCTCCAGGCTGCATAATCAGGACAAGTGGTCAAAAGCTTGGCAAAGATGTAAGTTTTAAGAACATCTTAAAGAAGGAAACAGAGGTGCAGGTATTAATGGAGGGAAATTCAGAGCTTAGCACCTTGGTAGCTGAGGGTATGGAAGCTAACAGTCGAACAATTGAAATATGGAATGTTTTAAGAGGTCTGACTTAGAGGAGTGCCAAAATCTTGGACCATTATAGCCTTGATGGAGATTTCATAATTAGAGAGGGGTGAGACTATGGAGGGATGTGAAAGCAAATTGTTGTTTAACCAGGAAGCAGTATATGCCAGCAAGCCAAGAGGTGATGGCGAAATGGAACTTGTGTGAGTTAGGATCCAGGTTTTAAAAGGTCTTTTGTTTTATGGAGTAGAATTGTCTTTGCCACATTTTAACAAATGTGGGTTGTGATCAGTCTGTACTCTCTACTGTCAGCTGAGCTGTAGATATCCTTGTGGACTAAGCTTGTATACTTTGAAAATTTTCTTTCACCAAGTTCTGCATGGCAGCACAAATGTATTATAGGCAAGAGATATACTGTGTGGATTATTATGCCATCAGTTAATAATCATATCTGATATTCTATTCTATTTTAGTAGAAGACAAAGGGTTAGTTGTCATTTAACTTATTATAATGTATCATTGTTCCTTTAAAATGCAATCATATTGTAGCAGACTGTATTTTATAGAAATATGTATCATTATATTTTGGTACTTTTCAAAGAGCAGGCTTTAATTCAACATTTTCTACTGAACCAGAAGGAAACAAAAAAAAACTGTTGAATTAGTCATCAAAGTTATTTTGAATTGAAAGAAAATTTACACTAATTGTGTATTTGCATTTCTGTATTTTTCAGGTATGAGAATACTAGTGACTTTACTGCTAGATACTCTGCCTATGTTAGGCAATGTCCTTCTCCTTTGTTTTTTTGTCTTCTTTATATTTGGAATTGTTGGAGTGCAGCTATGGGCTGGGCTGCTAAGGAACAGGTGTTTTTTTGAAGACAGCTTTGCAATGTAAGTATACCATCTATAATCATTAAGCTGCATGAAAGTTTTTTACTATGATGTAGATTTTTCCTGAAAGATTTGAATTTCTTATATAGCCTGAATGGTAGTAGACCGGTCCAATATAATAGTCATAAAACCGTTCTTTACTACACACACTAAAAATCTAGATGTCAGATTTCTCGGTCTGAAAATCCAAAATCTTTCCTTTAAAGTAAGTGAGAGTTTCATATCTTGTAGTTCAGTAACTTCTTAATGTCACCCAAAAAGCAGTAGTTATTTGTAAGTATAATTCACTGTGGGAAGCTGTGCTTGACAGACAGATGATTTGCACAGCCTAAATGTGATATTTTTGGGTTATGTGAAATTTAGATCAGATAGAAATCTTTACCCTCCATGTAAGCCCATGATGAACTTGACCTTGACAGCAATATTAATGTAACCATTATCTTCTTAGTTGAAACTAATAACTTTACGTAGCAGATGCAGCTAAGACAAATCTCATGAATTAGCTTGGTAGCCTATTCACCCTATATGTAATTGTTCCCAATCGCAAAGTCTTTCAGAACTCTGTCTTCCTCGCAAAGAATATCAACTCCTGATCTAGCCTGATCTACAGCTGACAATAGTACACAACCGGTTGAAAAAGGGCACAATTTTCATCAAAAATGGCACACACTGCAGAATCTTCTCAACTCATTCTGAATGGTGTATGTTACCTTCAAATAAGAAGACAGCAGCAAATATTTGCTTTTTCTCAGCTACTAGATTAAGCCATTGTCATCTAATGAACCAGTAGACTTTGTCAACTTATACTGAGATCATGCGACTCTATCTCATTTGTCTTGTTTCAAATAGAAGGGTACAGAAGCAGAGGGACCCGAGTGTGTATGTTCTCAGATCATTGAAGTGACAGGACAGGCAGAGAGAGCAGTAGGTAAAGTACACAGTATCCGCAGCTTGTTCAGCGACGGGTGGCTTCTGGCAGTCTGGAGTGGTGGTCTTTTCCCGGCGTGCTGGTCTTAGCCCTGCAGAGTGGTCTCCTGGCATGGCAGTTTTGTCCAGTGTTGAGGTCTCGTCGGCAGTCCGACTTGGTCTTCAGTGAGTGCTTCTGGCCCAGTGTTCTGACAGCCCAGCATGGTGTCTTCATCCAGGTTGGCGATTTCTTTCTTGGCATTTTCTTCAGTGGATGCTGTTGGCATTCCGACAGTCCAGTGTGGCATTTTTTGTCAGGGGTGGTGGTCTTGTCCCAGCAGCAGTTTTCTTCAGCAGAGGCTTTTGGTCCAGTTTTTCTGGTGGCCCTTTGTGTCAGTTTCATCCTGGCGTGGTGTTCTCATCATGGATTGATCGGCTTCCTCCGAAACCAGGAGCCGTTAAAGGGACTGTGAAGAACTTTTGTCTTACTTTTATAGTTACATATGAATTTACATATGACTTCTGACATTAATACAGGCACCACGGTAATGCAACTTATAACACTTTTCATTGTATTTTTCTTGTAAAAGTACATATGCAATAAATTCTAAATTCTAATAAACATAGAGTACAAGAACAAGGAGGTGATGTTGAACTTGTACAAGACACTTGTTAGACCTCAGCTGGAATATTGTGTACCGTTCTGAGCACCACATTATAGGAAGGAAATGAATGCATTGGAGAATACTATAATGGCTGTGGGGATGTAGAACTTTAACAATGAGGATATATTAAGAAGATAAGACTGATTCCTTTCAAGAGAAGAAAACTTAGAGGAAATCTGTTGGAAGTTTTCAAAACCATGAGTGGGTTGGACAAAGTAGAAAGGGAGAACTGTTCTTGCTCATGAAAAGAATATAACAAGAGGGCAAAGATTTAAAGTGATCTTCAAAAAAAGCAAGGACTAAGCAAGTAGAATGTTTTCATTCAGTGAGTAGTTAGGGTATGGGATGCGCTGACTGAAAGTGTGGTGGAGGCAGGTTCAGTTGAGGCAATCAAGAGGGGCATTGGATGATTATTTGAATGAAAATGTGCAAAGGTATGGTGAAAAAAGAGGAGATTGACACTAGATAAAGATGCTCATTTAACAAGCCACTGCAGGCACGATGGGCCGAATGGTCTCCTTGATGTATAACATTTCTGTGATTCTGAGAAGTTTTGATTTTCAGCCTCGGTGTGCCACCGTCTGTTTCTTTGGGCTGAAGTTTACATGGTAAGGTGGGGCAGGCAGTACAGAAGCTGAGTGAACAGCAAGGGTGGACAATCAAGCATTGAATGGTCCAATTATGAGACAATTATGAGAAGCAAAGGGGTACTTTGCTCCCAATCATTACTGAAAGCCAAAATGCCATTTGGCAGAGGGGAACTGCTGCTAACATCTGTCAAAATAGATTTGTAAAGGCCTGCTTTCAATCCATCTTAATAAAAACCAAAAGAACTGCGGATGCTGTAAATCAGGAACAAAAATGGAAGTTGTTGGAAAAGCTGAGCAGGTCTGGCAGTATCTGTGAAGAGAAAATCAGAGTTAATGTTTCAGGCCTGGTGCCCCTTCCTTGGAAGGGTCCGTTCTGAGAAGGGTCACCAGACCCGAAACGTTAACTCTGATATTTTCTTCACAGATGCTGCCAGACCTGCTGAGCTTTCCCAGCAACTTCTGTTTTTGTTCCTGAAACAATTGGAAGTTTTTTTTCCCAGAGATTCTATTGCAACACTGTGTTAAAGTTCAATTCCTTACATTTTCAGCCCTGAGGTCCTATGCTTACAAATGTTGCTGTAAGCTTTGGAGAAGTTGCAGCATGTACAGCCAGCTTAACATGTCTGTTGCAAGTGAGATGACAAACTCTAATCCACTTCACTCGCGTTAATCAGGTTATTGAAGTAGGACAGAAGCCATTGAACAATGGTCTGGATTTTACAGTGCTAATGATGGTGAAACTGTCCATATTCTCCATCCTTACTTAAATTGACAGCTGTGTTTGGTGTTGCCACATGTGTGTCATAGCTTGGAACCCCAAAATTTTATGTCGGTGATTCTATACTTCTCTAAATGGTACATCATTGAAGTGCCTTCACCCCTGAATGTTGTCAGTGTAAAATCTTGTCAATTCATTAGATTTTCCACTGTTGCACTGTTAATTTCTCTGTAAAAACCCTTGAACAAGTGGTACATTGTTGAATGACTCAATATTTTAGCTGTTTCATAATTTCACAATTATTTTTCAGCATCCTCATGGCCCTGAAAGTCTAAGTTTATATCCTTGCGTGACAAATTTCTTTATAGTAGTTAGAAATGTCCACATTTATAAGATCTTTCCTTTATTGTTTATTTATCTTTATTCTACCTTCTATCTTATTTAAATCATTACCATTTATTTTATCTTGGAAAATTTAAATTAAAAGTAAAGAATATTGAATTATTTTCACCTTCCTGACTTTGTGTACAAATATTTTAGTCTAATTGTCGGCTTAACTGCTGCCAAGAGATCCCCATGACTTGGTGTCAGATTTAAACTGCTAGAGGAAAGGATAAGTCAAAACTCACACCGGTCATTTGATTTTGTGGGCAGACTTCTGTGAAATTTAGCAGTGAGCAATCTTTTTCTCTGCTGACAGCAAAGTATAAGCTTATACATTTTCTCAAACAAACCACTGGCTCTAAAATTCTTTAGGGTTCATATACAGGTTGTACCTCCCAAATCCAGCACTCTCTAGTCTGGTAACCTTGTGGCCTGGTACCTTCAGTACTACTGGTTTTCCCTGTAGTGGCATTTGATGGTTTTGCATCGATTTTTATTTATGTTGCTTTTTGTTACACTTTGTCCAGTTGGAATGCTGTAATTCCTGTAACTGGGGTACAATTGAAAACGCAATCATCCATTAAGCATGTGACTGATATAAGTCAAGGTGAAGTCTTTCTTTTAAAGTTCTGGTGCATTGAACAAACTTGATTTCTAGCCATGGCCCAGTCCTGACATTGCCACATTAAGTTAGAGCAAACTGTAGCTGCTTTACGTTGGTTCAGTTGTTTCTCTGCTATTTATTTCAACTTCGATTATAAGACTTAAGTCAATTATAATCATAGACTGAGCTTAAGATACAATCCACATTGATTGCCATATGGGCTTCTTTCATTCTCCAAATGGAATAAAGTTAATGAGCAAAAATCACACTTTATTACAGTACTGAAGTGTGTTAACAGTGAGTTAACAACGTGCCATTGCACGATTAAGCAAAATACATAAAGCACAAATTAACCATACAAATTGATATACATAGGTCTATTAAATACTTCAAATTACAACACTAGAACAATTTAATTACACCTGTGGCAAAGAGTCAGTCCTCAACTGAGGAGATTTTAATCTCCTGGTTATATTGGTTAACCAAGACTTTCCTGTTTGGCCCAGGTTAAAAACCTCAATCAAGAACCTTGTAGTCAACGAGGTCCACCTGGTCACAATCACTGCAGTATCTCAAAGCATTTTCACATATATTAATTTTTACATTAGTTTGGGCCATAAAACCAGTCAGTAAATCATAAACTATTCACTTTACTTTTGACCTGGACCATATAGCTATTCTTCCTTACAGAAACTGTTTTACAACAGGCCACAAGCAAATAAAACATTACTTAATTTGTCACTTGTTTGATCAGGTCAAAATTATTGAAAAATAATTCAATCCTACACATGTTCTACTGAATAGGAAAGGCTGTTAGCAACCCTTGTATCTACAGAGTTGGCTTTGCCATCTGGAATAGAGTCTTGGATGCCATAACTCCCAAACTCTGTAATGAAAGCCCCATGAGACTTCATCTACAGCTCAGCCATTATCTATATACTAACATCATCAGTGTTTATCCCCTGATGTTTGACTCTGGTGAAAATGTTAAGGAAAATATCTGTTCTGACTTTTAAGTCCTCACTGTTATCCTAGAAGAAGAAATGGTTATCATACATAGAGATCTTAAATGCTAGAGTTTCCTGTAATTCTGAAGTCTGGAAAGGAATTATTGGGAAAAAGCTGGCTGGAAA